TATATTTTTTATATACATTTATTATTAAAAAAATACTCTTAATTTATACTCAAAAAACAAGAGTTAAAAAAATCCTCTCATAATTAAGGTCTGTGATTTTACGTAATAATAATTATATATTATTCACTATTTTCACTTGCCAAGCACACAATTTAAATGTATTTATTCCCTGTTTTTTTTTTTTTCAATTTTTTCATTCAATGTCACATGGCTACATTCTTATTATAAGATCTCATTTTAAGACTGAGAATTTTTTTTTTTTTTAAATCATGTTAAACTTATTCTTTCGTCAATTCTACCGTCACAGACAACAAGTACCTCCTCCTTTCAATTTTTGTTGTTATTCTTTTTAATTTAGGATTTTCGCACTTAACTATTCTTTTGTTTATATGAAGATGCCATTTAATATATTGGATGACAATTTTTTTTTATTTCTTAATCCATTCTTACTCATATGTCATGTAATTTTAATTTAAAATTTTTTTTCATTAAAAATAAATTATTATTAAATTATTTAGACAGTTTGTTAATATATTTGTTTTTGTTTTATCTTTATTAAAAAAATTACAACATATATTATAAGAGATTAGTATTTATTAGTTGAATTTACAAAAAAGTAAATAAAAAATACATTAAAATTATATTGTTTTAATAAAATATTATAAAAAATTTGAATAGTACTATTCTTATTTTAAAAAATAACTTATTTTAATTTTTTTAATAAAAATTTATTAAATTATCATATTACAACTGAGAAACTTTTTTTTTATATTATAATAAGCAAACTTTGTAACATTAATTATAGTTGATTATAAATAAATAACTTAAATACAAAATATAAAATTCTATCCATTAATTATTATAATTTCAAAGTTATGTAAAGAGTAAAAATTAGTTGTCTATCTTGTAAAAAAGCAAATCCGAGTCCCCACGTTTCTGAATTCAACAGGGACAAAAGAAGCAAAGAAAAAAAAAAAAGAAGCAAACAGAAGCAGAAAGCAGCAGTGTGGGAATGTGGATGCAAATGCAATAGGAGTGAGTGAGGTGTATTCTCTAGTTGATTCATCAGATCCCGACACCCAAACTAAAAAGTAAAGAAAAGCAGCAAAGCAAAAAATCTCCCCGCGCATACCCCCCCACCCCACCGTATCTCTCTCTAGACTACCCCTTCCCTTTCTCTTCTTATCATCTCTTTCTCCCCTCGCACCCTGTTTCAAAAGAAAAGGCTCTAGTCTCAACCCCCAGGTTTTGGTTTGGTGGTCATCTTGGGTTCCATCTCTGAACGAAACCTACATGATGCAGAGGCCTCCCATTGAAGATTTTGCCCTCAAGGAGACCGATCCCCCCCTTGGTGGGAGGAAGGTCACTAGGGACAAGCTTACAAGCACTTATGACCTTGTAGAGCAGATGCAGTATCTCTACGTTCGGGTTGTGAAGGCGAAAGACTTGCCTCGGAAAAATGTTACTGTGAGTTGTGATCCTTAATTATGTTGAGGTTAAACTTGGGAACTATAAGGGCACCACTAGGCATGTTGAGAAGAAGTCAAATCCTGAGTGGAATCAGGCGTTTGCTTTCTCCAAGGATAGGATTCAGGCTTCTTTTTTTTTGAAAATAGGTAATGAGGATTCAGGCTTCGGTTCTTGAGGTTATTGTGAAGGATGAC